TTTGCCCCCTCACCCCCCACCCCAGGGAATTCTGCAGATTATTAATGCAGGTGTTAATGCTATTTTGTATTTAAAATGTGAGAGGGTGCCATTTTCACATCATCTCCCCCCCCCCCAATGTTAAACTTCAACTTACTGGTTCTATAGGTTGCTGACGATGGTTATGGTGTATCATACATCCTTGTGGGAGAGAACCTCATCAATTTCCATATATCTTCTAAGTTCTCCAGCCCTGAGACCGTAAGTACAACATGAAGGCCCTTTTCTAAAGACCAGAGTATTTTTTACTGTTTTCTTCTTAATTTGACAGAAAATATCAGTTCAACTGTATGCTTTTACTTGGTGTGGACATTTTCAAATAAATGAAATTTTAAGTTCTTTCACCTAATTTTACTTCATTGCTATTTTTTTTTTTTTTAAGACTTTATTTGAGGGCAGCCCGGATGGCTCAGCGTTTAGCGCTGCCTACAGCTCAGGGCGTGATCCTGGAGACCCGGGATCGAGTCCCACGTTGGGCTCCCTGCATGGAGCCTGCTTCTCCCTCTGCCTCTCTCTCCTCTCAGTGTATTCTCATGAATAAATAAATAAATAATCTTGAAAAAAAAAAAGACTTTATTTGAGAAAAAGAAGGAGCACGTGTATACCAACGAGGCAGACGAGGGACAGAAGGAAAGGGAGAGGGAGAAGCTGACTCCCCACTGAGCAGGGAGCCTGATGTGGGACTCAGTCCCAGGACCCTGAGATCATGACCTGAGCCAAAGGCAGATGCTTAACTGACTGAGCCCCCTGGCCGCCCCTCTCTAACCTAGTTTTAAAGAAATCATCTTATTTGGTTGCAAATATTTGTTTTTGCCCATAGGAATGGTTTTAAATCTCAATGTTGGAGTGCTCATGTAACTCTCAGACTCTAATGTTGGAGGGTGGACTGTGGTCAGTGTGCACATGGAGAGACATACCATATAAGATGAAGGACGGTCTTTGGTGTTCTCTGGGTGTGGAACCTCTTTCCTTGCATGGCACGCTTAATTCTTGTTTCTCTTCTGCCTTTCTACATTGTATACTACCTGAAAGCATTGCCAGGTTCACTGTTAGCAGAGAGGATTGGAATCCATTTATTGTGTTTTTTTTTCTTTAAGATTTTACTTATTTATTCATGAGAAACACAGAGGCAGAGACACAGGCAGAGGGAGAAGGCTCCCCAGATAGAGCCTCATGCAGGACTCAATCCCAGGACCCCAGGATCACAACCTGAGCCAAAGGCAGACACTCAACCACTGAGGCGCCCCTATTTATTGTGCTTTATGTAATGCATTGACCTTAGGGGAGGCCTTACATCAAGACCACACCCACACAAACATATATAAATGATTATCTCTGGGAACCCGCAGCATTTCTCCGGAAACTGGAAATTCACAATGAAGCTGTTAGGTCAAAGCTCAGAGCACTGGCAAAAAGGAATGTTTGTTCTTTGCATCAGGTTATAAGTAGAGAAAAGCTCAAGTGTGGAGATTTCCAGGTCATAACATGTGTTTTGTGGTTTTTTTTGTTTTTGTTTTTAAATGAAAGGACTCGCATCGCTTCGGGAAGTACCTGAAACAGGCCATGAGTGACATCATCAGTTTATTTGGGTTCAGCTCCAACTCCAAAAAGTAATTCCATTAGAGCCGCCGTGAAGGAAAACGAGCTCTTCGGATAAAAACCAAATGAAAAATAGCTGTGGATCCTGATCGTAGTTCAGGATGAAAAATTGCTCTACAAAACTCAGAAGTTTTCCTTCCAAGGGTTTGATGTTTTTCTTTGTACAGAACAGTAGGTCTCTACCATGTGAAGTAAAACTCCACTACTTCCTGGCAAGTCCTGACTTTGAGAAAGTTTGATAAAATCCCCTCCCCCCCAACCCCGAAAGCTTTTGCATCTTCCTGGGCTTCCTGAGGACGAAAATATGATTGAGCTAATTAAGGGAGTAGTGGGGTTGTGACTTCACACATTGGAAATGCAAGTGGCACGTTTCCTTGGTGGTGACCAAATACCTGGTACTTAAACGGGCATTTACTTTAACCGGAGCTTGTTTTGTTCAGAGAGGAAAGCATCTGAGCTTTGGAGATGGGGACCTTTCGTAGCTGATGCGTATATAATGCACTAACTGAAACGCTGTGCTTTTGGAAACAGTTTTTGTTGCTGTGGGTAACCCTGTCCTCATTTGCCTCTCCGTGCTTGAAGCAAGTAGTATGCCACACATGTTTAGTTTTACTGACTGAGCAAGTTGTCAAAACCCAGTGCCTTAACAATGCAAGGCCCTAAGTGAAAGGGAGACCGTGGGGAAGATTTACTGTGTCGGGTCTGCAGGTAGAATCATGAGTGTCTTACTCCCTTCGAAGTTTATGGAGTGGGTGACCTGAAAAAGTGTTTCCTATGGTTTCCTTCCCCCTAGAAAGACCAGTTCCCTCCTGAGGTCAGACCACCTTCTTCATATCATTAAGCAACAAAAGAAAAGTGTGTGTGTGTGTGTGTGTGTGTGTGTGTGTATACACACATGTATGTGTGTGAGAAATGGGGAGCAAGGGATGCTGTGGTTAAATGTGAGGTGTCTGGAGCTCTGGAGCAGTTGCTGCAGAATGAAGGGTAAGCTGTGCCTCAGGACTGTTGCTTATCCATTCTGACAGCAAGGAGGGCATGACGTTTACCACTGACGAAGGAACAAAGCTTGAGAAATAGAAATAACCTCAGAATGGTCAGGAGAGTGCAGTGCCAGCAGGCCCTGGGAGTGCTTCCCAGTCCCACCTGGCAAGAGAGAACCACGTTCCTTCCCAGAAGAGATGGAGGTAGATGGACATGGTAGGCCACGTCATCTCGGTGACTGATGAAGATGCTGTGGGTGACAGGTGCTAGGTTGAACACAGTCTGCCCTTTAGATGGGTGTGCCTTTATTGAAAGTGAGTGACCAAAAAGCAATTATGCACTGAATTGTCTTCAGTATTTAATGTAAAAATAAAGCATCATGGAATGAAAAGACCCACCACTGCCTCTGGGCTGTAATGACAAGCTTAGCTGTCCATTTTTAAAACTGTGTATTTATTTTTCTGACCACTTTGTTCTGATGGGGTCGTGCACTCCAGTGATACAATGACCAGGCTGGACTGTTGGAAGAGAGAGGGGCGCTTGCTGCAGAGCACATGTGTTTTATTTCCATATATGTTGTCAGGTAAAAATCCCACCTAAATGGGCCAAAGATTTTTTTTTCTCTTAAAAGCAAGAAGGAATGAAAACAGACAAAAAAGCTAAAATGAAAACCAACAACTATGGTATCAACACCCCCCAGCCCCCATTCATCTGTGGTTCACAGTTAAGGAGGTTGTGGGGGGTGGAGCCCACTCTGCCCCAGGGCAGACGTGGCTTCCAGTCAAAGCTGGATCAGTCCCTGTCGGAGCCACGTCAATCCTGTGCTATTGACCACTGACCTTAGTGTTCACATGTGAATTCAAACGTTGACGTGTAGCACTCAAACATATTTGGGCTTGTTTCTCAGGTTTAAATATTTCAAATGTAATTAATTGTTGTTAACCAGTGCAGTTATCAATGCAATTTTATATTTCCTAAAAGAAGGAAGAGTGGGTTTTTATTGTACATGTTGAAAAGAAGAGGGAAGAGTATTATGTATTTAATTTAATTTGGAATAAGCCATAGTCTTAAAGAGCTGTGGTTTGAATTTGTTATCTTGGGCTGTCCACTGCATGTAGATACAATATGCTCTTTTGGATGTAAATCTAAGAACTGCAGTATGAATGTTATCATTAATAAAACATTAATCCCAGTTTTTGTTTCTGGCTCTTTTGTTATGTGAATAAGGAGGTAGTGCTGATGCTGGAGACAAAGGTGAGAGACTACAGGAGGTTTGCACAGATGGCCTGGCCTGGGCAGAGTGACCTGGCTTAGAGGGGAAGCTGCGGAGTTGGGCTGTGGTTTCCACTCTACGTTTATGCTTTTGCTCCCTGTCCCTGTGCCTGGAACAGTGTCCAACACGTAGTAGGTACTCAAATATCTGTTAAGTGGATGCACAACATTACCTTTCTAAATAGTCTTTATTGAGCACCTGCTGTGTGCTAAGCTCTGCTCGGTACAATGGGGACCCCAGTTCTGGTTACAGTGGAGATCGAATCCAGTGGGAGGAGAGAACCAAGACAGCCATTCAGAGGATCTTCCGTGTCCTGAGGCAGATGAGAGGAACATGTGTGGACAGAGGTAGCTGGCTGAGAAAGGAGGATTTGAGTGGAGGTCTGAGTAACAAGACAGCCGGCTTTGGCTGATCCAGCAGAGCTGAAGAGCATCTAGGAGTGTTGAGGAGGTGCTGGGCCTTCGAGTCTGGCTGGCTTGTGACTCACACTGGAGAGCTGTGCATGCTTCATGCATGGGAACTGCTCTGTAAAAATATGTGAATGGTATGGTCTTGCTCATGCTATTCAAGCGTCAGATTGTTTTTTGTTTTTTAACGAGGGCTCTTCAGTTTATTTCAGCTGCCTTTAGTTTGGGAAGCCCAAACTGTGTTCTCAGCCCTGCCCTGAACTCAACGGACTTTAACCATGATGCGATTATTTCAGCCCTAAAATAAGTGAGGCCATCGGCCCTGTGAGGCCCTGGAAACGCCTGGAAAGATCCCCAACTGACGAAAGTGTCTCCTTTGGCGGGCAGCACCACTGGGAGTGGCACAGTGCTTAAGGGATCTTCAGCTCTATCTGTAGCATTTCAATATCTCAATAGAGTTATTATTCAATGCAATGAATATGCTAATTTTGATCTGAAGAAGTGAGGCTGGTCTGGGCGCCTAGGTTTCCTCAAGGGAACCTAGAGCCCAGGCCCTAGGAACCTCCTTCCTGGCCCTTCCCCTACAGCCCGGCCCCCGGCCCCCGGCCCTGCGAGCCCCGCCCCCGCCCCCGAGGCCCCGCCCCCGCGCGGCCCCGCCCCCCGGTGCCCCGCCCTCAACCGCCAACGGCCGCGGGCACGTGCGGGCCGGCTCCAGCCGGATCACCCCGCCCCGCTCCGCTTCCTCGCTCCGCGCCGCAGCAGCCCCGCGGCCCAGGTGCGTCCCCCGGGGGAGGCCTGAGCCCGCGCCCCTCGGCCGCCGTCGGGTCTGCCCCTGGGCCCCGGGCCCGGCCTAGTGGTCTGCAGGCCGGGAGGGAAAGTGGGTTCCCGGTAGGCTCCTCGGGATGGAGGGACCCCCGCCCGGTCCGCTCCTTGGGGTAGAGGGACCCCCTCTCCCCAGTCCGTCCCTCGGGATGGAGGGACCCCCTCTCCCCGGTCCGTCCCTCGGGATGAGGGACCCCCTCTCCCCGGTCCGCCCCTCGGGATGGAGGGACCCCTGCCCGGTCCGCCCCTCGGGATGGAGGGACCCCCGCCCGGTCCGCTCCTTGGGATAGAGGGACCCCCTCTCCCCGGTCCGTCCCTCGGGATGAGGGACCCCCTCTCCCCGGTCCGCCCCTCGGGATGGAGGGACCCCTGCCCGGTCCGCCCCTCGGGATGGAGGGACCCCCGCCCGGTCCGCTCCTTGGGATAGAGGGACCCCCTCTCCCCAGTCCGTCCCTCGGGATGGAGGGACCCCCTCTCCCCGGTCCGTCCCTCGGGATGAGGGACCCCCTCTCCCCGGTCCGTCCCTCGGGATGAGGGACCCCCTCTCCCAGGTCCGCCCCTCGGGATGGAGGGACCCCTGCCCGGTCCGCCCCTCGGGATGGAGGGACCCCCGCCCGGTCCGCTCCTTGGGATAGAGGGACCCCCTCTCCCCAGTCCGTCCCTCGGGATGGAGGGACCCTCTCCCCGGTCCGCCCCTCGGGATGGAGGGACCCCCTCTCCCAGGTCCGCCCCTCGGGATGGAGGGACCCCCGCCCGGTCAGCCCCTCGGGATGGAGGGACCCTCTCCCCGGTCCGCCCCTCGGGATGGAGGGACCCCCTCTCCCAGGTCCGCCCCTCGGGATGGAGGGACCCCTGCCCGGTCCGCCCCTCGGGATGGAGGGACCCCCTCTCCCCGCTCCGTCCCTTGGAATGAAGGGACCCCCTCTCCCTGTCTGCCCCTCGGGATGGAGGGACCCTCTCCCCGCTCCGTCCCTCGGGATGGAGGGACCCTCTCCCCGGTCCGCCCCTCGGGATGGAGGGACCCTCTCCCCGGTCCGCCCCTCGGGATGGAGGGACCCCCGCCCGGTCCGCCCCTCGGGATGGAGGGACCCCCCTCTCCCAGGTCCGTCCCTCGGGATGGAGGGACCCCTCCCGGTCCGCCCCTCGGGATGGAGGGACCCCCTCTCCCAGGTCCGTCCCTCGGGATGGAGGGACCCCTGCCCGGTCCACTCCTTGGGATAGAGGGACCCCCTCTCCCCAGTCCGTCCCTCGGGATGGAGGGACCCCCGCCCGGTCCGCCCCTCGGGATGGAGGGACCCCCTCTCCCAGGTCCGTCCCTCGGGATGGAGGGACCCCTGCCCGGTCCGCCCCTCGGGATGGAGGGACCCCCGCCCGGTCCGCTCCTTGGAATAGAGGGACCCCCTCTCCCCAGTCCGTCCCTCGGGATGGAGGGACCCTCTCCCCGGTCCGCCCCTCGGGATGGAGGGACCCCCTCTCCCCGGTCCGTCCCTCGGGATGAGGGACCCCCTCTCCCAGGTCCGCCCCTCGGGATGGAGGGACCCCTGCCCGGTCCGCCCCTCGGGATGGAGGGACCCCCTCTCCCCGCTCCGTCCCTTGGAATGAAGGGACCCCCTCTCCCTGTCTGCCCCTCGGGATGGAGGGACCCTCTCCCCGGTCTGCCCCTCGTGATGGAGGGACCCCCTCTCCCAGGTCCACCCCTCAGGATGGAGGGACACTACCCCCTCCCCCAGTGAGACCCTCCCTGGCCCTTGGGATGGAGAGACCCCCTGGGGATTCCGGGGCGGGCGGTGGGGCGGGACCGCCCGCCTCACCTGGTCGCATCCTCGCAGGTGCTCCGTTCCAGGCCGGAAGGAATCTGGTGGCTAGGGGTGTAGGGCGATGCCCGGCCCGAGGTCCTGGCAGTGGACATGGAGGAGGCTCCTCTGCTTAGCAGGATGTCCAGTCCGGAGGAGGAGATGGTGACAGACCTTTTCAGTGCAGAGAATCCGTTTGTTTCTGAAAACCTGACCCTGAAGCCCCCGGTAGTGGTGAAGCACGAGGAGGACGAGTTCCACGTGTTTAAGGATGCCTATCTGAGCTCTGCTGACCCCAAAGAGCCCCTCCTGCACGTGTTCAACCCCCCGCTTCACGGGGACTGTGAGAGTCAAGTCAAAGTGGAGCTGGTGGTGGAGGACAACGACGAAGAAGAGATGCTGGCAGAATACCCAAGTCTCCCCGAGCTCCCCCCACTGGAGGACGCCGTGCTGCCTGTGGCCCCGCAGCCGCTGCAGCCACTGCCACCACTGTCACAGCCCTACAACGTGCACTTCCTGTCCTCCCTGCTGGCACCGCATAGGAGTCCTGCTGTGGTGCCGCTGGGCGCCTGGGCCCGGGAAGGAGCTGCCCACCCTGGTGTCCGGGTGATTCCAGTAAGATTCATGTGGCAAGTAGGCCCACGACCTCGGTCCCCCCCCCCCCCCCCCCAAGATAGAGAAGTGAGACCGCTGGCTCGGGCCAAGATTCCCCTCTCCAGCCTTTCCAGGCATCACTAGCATCCCTGGTTGGATGCACTCATTCCAGCTGAGCACCTCCCTTTGTAAGCCTGGTGTTGGCTACCCCCGCCAAGCCATTGTCCCTGCAGGAGATGAGGTCCTGGGCAACTGGTTCAAAGTAGCCTAACACTGCAGAGAGCATGCAGCAGAAGAGGGAAGCAGCTAGAAGTGTGTGGCCCTGGGCCTGTTGCTATCACTGGGTTTAGGAAAGAAGCCTCATTTGTGTTCCCCAGTCACTAGTGTCTGGGGGAAAAAATGCAATGCAATTGTGTTTTCGTGAAATCAAGACATGAGAGCTTCTCTCTGCTAATAAGGGATTGTTCCTTAACCATATGTAATATAAATCAGAGTCTATGTGAATTCCTGCTAATTCTACCCTAACTAGTGTCTTTAGCTGTCATCACTGGTGATTTTCTGCTTTGTTCTTGCTGAAACTAAACAAATCAATTTTTAAAGGAAACGATCCCAAGGATATGTGTATTGGCCCTCTAAGGGGGCCTGGTTTGAAAACCTAGATTACTTAGCCACAAAATCATTGTAGTATTAAGTTAAACCTCCACAGAGCACTTTGGAGTTGGTGTTGGATGACTGTAGCCTGACTTCAGGAATCAGCCAGAGCTGCGGGAGCTGAAATTTCTGCCTTTCTGGTTCTCCTTTCATGCAATCACTGCTCTTTAGTGTAAAGTAAAGATGGAGAGAAGAGGCTGGACTTCAACCACCCTCGCAGTTTGACATAGAGGAACCCTAGAGCTCACCCAGTCCTACCAGCCTTCACCCACGATAGAGGTCTTCCTTGAATCTTTTTCAAATGGCTTGAAATGGCCCCCACTCCACTTTGCTTCCAGGCCAGACTTGGGTTCTTGGCACCTCTTGCCTGTTGGGCTTAGTATGGCTGCCTTCCTGTACAGAGTGGACCCAGTGAGAATTCACCAGAACAGGAATGGAACTAGCTTATGTCAAAATCATAAAATTCTCTTTTAATGTAATCCAATTTTAACAGAATGTGCAGTTAACAAAATAGAGGAGAGGGTATTTGGATATTTATTTGCTTTTTAAATATTTTATTGCCTATTTCCTAGTTAGGTAGTAAAATGAAAAAGATACAGCATGAGCATGTTTATCATTTAAACAGAATGGGATTATTTTTTAGTAAATACTGAGAATGAATTGCTAATTTCCTTTTTCTAGAAATTCATTCCCACGTTGACCTTTATTTCTATCTCTTCTGTAAAAATGGGACTTTGCTGAGTATAAGTAGTTTGGATCATAGTTGCATGCGGCTGAGTTGATAAATTTACTATGTAAGTACTTGTTAGTTACAGAGAGGTAAATTAGATGTAATAAACTCAGATGGCGTGTGCCTGGTAAGTTCCTCAAAGCAGAAAGCAGAATAAAATTTAAAATTTTCTCTTTTCTATAAAATTTGAATTATCAAAATAAAACCATAACTTGAAATACAGCTAAACCTTCCCCTTTTTAAAGATGTATACCTTCCTGCTAGTCTGCTGTGCTAAGGAACCTACCAGTAATTATTACCTGTGTGGGTTGCCAATCTCACTGTTCCACATCTCCATATTCACAGCCATAACTATACCTTAGAAACATTGTTACCTGAGCTGGGATTTTATACGAGGTCTGCAGAATGCAACCCTACAATCACTGTCTTCTTGGAAGGACCCCAGGACCTGGCTCTCCTGTACTCTGCAAACGGGCACTCTGGGCAGGTTCAGGAAGGCAGGGACAATGCAAAGTGTGGGTTGGATACTGTTCCCAATCCTCCTCATATTCTTAGCAAACTTTAGAAGAAATCCTCACAATTTTGGAACGCTCAAATCTGATGGTAATTTTTTTTTAACCACCGAGTCTTTCGTTTTTAAATTCCATTAATTTTCAGTACTATCACTGGCATTTCACCCTCTGCTGATTTCACTGTGCGTCACTGAGTTGGCTGTTGTTGGAGAAGATGGCTTAGAGACAGAGTTGGCAACTCTCCTTGCCCTCAGCATTTCTTATTAGTTATCATCCTGCCACTCAGTCAGGAAAGCGCTACTATGTAATTTAAGTTTTGCTGTAAATACATTATCAGTATCACTGAAACATCTGCCGGTATTGTAGGCTTCTTGAGAAAAAACCAAAACAATCATTTGGAACATTTAATACAACTTAATGAGCATGCTCTAAGAATGGTGAGAAAGGATCCACATTTGAGGCCACTTGGGGGAAGGTCCCACAAGGCTGCCAGCTCCTCTAGAGTGGAGGGCTGTTGAGTAGCTTGAGAGGCACCAAGGCAACTGGGACATCTTCTTAGTTCCTTACACAGTGTGTTTGAGACAGCATGAGCACCACATCAAAAAATCACACCTTCGCACTTTGTAGACAGGTAGCTTTGGTTCTCAGGGTCCTTAGTTTCTGGAGAGTCTGAGCAGATGACTTATCACCGCCCTTGTTGTGTTCCTCCCCCCTGCCCCCTCCAGGGTGAATAATAGAAAAGAAGTAAAGGTAAGGATGCTATTTACTTTTTTTTTTTTTTTTTTTAGATTTTATTTATTTACTCATGAGAGACACAGAGAGAGAGGCAGAGAGAGAAGCAGGCTCCATGCAGGGAACCCGACGCGGGACTCGTTCCCGGGTCTCCAGGATCACGCCCTGGACTGAAGGCAGCACTAAACCGCTGAGCCACCGAGGCTTTCCGCTCTTTACTTTAAAAACATAACTTTGGGGATCCCTGGGTGGCTCAAGTGGTTTGGCACCTGCCTTTGGCCCAGGGCAGTCCTGGAGTCTCGGGATCAAGTCCCACGGGCTCCCGGCATGGAGCCTGCTTCTCCCTCCTCCTGTGTCTCTGCCTCTCTGTGTCTTTCATAAATAAATAAATAAATAAATAAATAAATAAATAAATAAATAAATAAATAAATAAATCTTTAAAAAAAATAAAAACATAACTTCTACACAGAATTTTCTCTAGTTTGCAGCTGTGAAGCCCAGGTCCACAGTGTGGTTTCTAAAATAACAATTGCTTTTTTTAGGTGGAAATAAAGGAAGCAGGTGGTACAATTATAAGTAACAATCCGGAGGAAGCAGCTTTTCAGAACCCTCTTGGCCCTGAATCCTGTTGCAAGTTCCCCTCATCACAAGAAGCAGAAGACACCTCTGGCTGTTCTCACAAGAAAGACTCTAACCCAATGGTAATGATGCCCAAGAAAACGTGTCTCGCTAACATTATCTTAAATATTTGACTCTGATCATTGCTAAGACGATAGGAATTGTTGATTTTGGCCACTGGTTTTCATCCTATTTACTTGAGTCCACATTTTTGGTTGCATCCATCAAAAGCAGAATGTAATTGGGGCCTTCCCAATGCTCTGTTCACTTCTGAAATTCTCATTTCTCAGGTATTAACAAACCAAACAAAGATTAGGACATTGCTGTACTTGCCGAGGAGAGTAACAAGTCCCCTTGGCAGTGCAGACTGGGGTGGGCCCAGGGGTGGGGCAGCCTGCAGAACTGCATGGTTTGGCAGATGGGGCTGCTTCCTGTCCCATCTGCCCTCAAATTCCTGATTATACCAAGTGACACTCGCTTGAGATAGTCTATTACACATGTGGTTCATGTGATTGTTTGGCATGTTTGTGTTTTCATGTAATCCTCCCATCAGTACTATAGCCTAGACATTATTTTAATCTACGTTTCATAGATAAGAAAACAGAGATTCTACCTGGCCTGCTTGTAAGTGGTGTATCTGGAGCTTCTGGTCCGAGTATGGTGAGGACTGGGAAGGAGGGGCCTAGAGGATCGGGCCCCATCTGTCCTCTGGCAGAGTCCAAAGAACCAGAGATTGCCTTTTCCTTGGTAGCTCGTTATTCCAAGAAAGGTAGCCTAGGCTGTAAGGCATGTACTTTAGGAAATATTTGAAAATGAGCTCATCACAGACTTTGGCTCAACTGTGGCATATGCCAGTACCTGCCGCTCTGTCTGGTTCTGCTCAGGTGCATGGGTTCCGAGAGCAGAGCTTTTCCAGGATACCTGGACCAGGTGAACAGGATGAGAACTTTTCCAGTTATAGCAGAGTACTGAGTAGCGTGCGCTCGCTCTTGGGGCAGGGGGTAGGGTGGGGGACGCCCAGGCAGAGCCCAGGAGAGCCTGCTCTTGTGCACGTGTGTGTGTGCATGTGTGTATGTGTGTGGCTATAGCTTTGTGCATGTGTGTGTGTGCATGTGTAGGTATGTGTGTGGCTATAGCTTTGTGTTCTAAATACAAATAAAATGCCAACCAAACACGAATACTGGCCTCTTATCCAATGTCAGGGTGATCTAAAGTTTTACCCAGTGATCAGCACTTTGTTAACATAGTCTCTACGTGTGTTATTCTGCTAACATCGATCCTTTATGCTTATTTGGGTTTTCCTGTCTGGGAAACCCTAAGGCAACCTGAAGTCAGAGACCACAGCTTCTTTGGGTATCTGTGGCTTTACCATCAGAATTAGAAGCTGTGTGTGGGCAGAAACCATGACTTCTCTTGCCTTCATATTCACACCTCACTGCCTTGGATGAGATGGCACCCAGGGGGGCTTTGCTTGACCTGTGTCTTTGACTGACGGACTCACCTGGCTCACTAAGGATTTATTTATGCTCAGAATCCAACTAGGTGATCTGAGAAAGCCAGTCAGGCCCAGGAAAACTGATATGGCTTCTTAGAATCTTCCAGTTCTTGGATTAACCTTTCTAAACTGTACTTGTAGGAAATAAAATAAATGGACATTAAAAAAAAACCACATGTAAAATAATAATACATAGCAGGAAAGAGTAACGTAAAATAAAAGATTATTCTGAGTATGTGACCAGTTCTAGGGATGGTGTCGAGGATGAAGTCTTTCTTACAGTTAACAGTCTTTCTTATAGTTAACTAATGGGACTGGGGTTGGGCAGATCCACGTACTCTTCATTCACACAGATGGTGGAATATAAGGATGGCAAAGGAAGCTTTGGTGCATAGTCACCCCATCCTTACCCTAAATCTCCTTGGGCAGCAACCTGTAGAGGAAGGTATGAGCAGGAACTTGTATTCACACACTGAACACATCTCACAAAGCACTTCCTGGGGGATTTTTGCCCTGTGAGACATGGAGTAAGAGTAGAGTAAGAAATGGAAAACAGTTCTTCATCTTGCTATTTTTTTCCATTAAAACTTAAATTCTGGATTAAAGTTATTTTCTCAGATTTAAGTTTATTTAGGTTCATATTACTGGATATCTTTTTAAAATGAAACCTGATCATTATTTTTCATTTTAGGTGATATGTCAGTTGAAAGGGGGTACACAAATGCTGTGTCTAGACAATTCTGGGACAAGAGAACTAAAAGCACTTCATTTGGTTCCTCAGTATCAAGACCAAAATAATTATCTACAGTCAGGTACAGAGTACATTGATTAAAAAAAATAATGTCATATTTGATATGTAAGTTGGTAAGTGAATATGTTTGGCTTTGTCTATAGAGTAAAAGTAAATAGGCAGTTAGGTTATTAAAAAGGCAATTTGGCAAACCTCAGAGCCCTTATGAGTGAACTAAGAATAGAAACAAAAATCTTTATAGACTAATCTATGTACATTGTGTTCTTGAATAGTTACCCTGTGCTTCCCCTAGCTGCAGAGAGCCTTGTGATCCTAACAAATGATTCCTTTTACCAACAAGTGGATATGCCTAGAAGGGACTGGGGTTGAAATATCAGCCTTTCCTGGATTGGGTGGGGGGTGGGGGTTAATGGTTCAGGTGTGGTTTTTTGTTTGTTCTTTTGTCAAGATTTTATTTATTTACTCATGAGAGACACAGAGAGAGGCAGAGACATAGGCAAAGGGAGAAGCAGGCTCCATGTAGGAAGCCTGATGTGGGACTGGATCCCGGAATCATGACCTGAGCCAAAGGCAGCTGCTCAACCACTGAGTCACCCAGGCGCCCCTCAGGTGTGGTTTAAACTATATACATTCAAATGGAAACATTTTCATATAATCAGTGAGAACGATGATTATGCTTTAATCACCATGACTTTGAAATAAGTATATCAAATGCTGATTTTCTCTGCCATTCACTCAGAAACATCCTTAAACAGGCATAATAATACATGACCTATAAGTACATAATTATCCTCAAATTACTTATAAATGATAAATGAAAGAATAAATAGCATAAGTTTAGGATTGTGTTTGCAAAAGTTAGACCCTAATTCTTGAAAACTAACATCTCTATATGGATTATATACATAATCATGTAATTCTACATCTTGAGTTAATCAGAATATTTTAATTATCAGATATTTTGCTGACCTTACCAATGATTTATTTTTGTTTTACTTTTTGTTGAAGTATAATTAACCTACCACATTATATTAGTTTTATGTGTACAACAGTGGATTGACGTTTGTATACATTGGGAACTGAACCAGCGCAGTAAGTCTTACCATCTGTTGCCACACAAAGTTGATACAGTATTATTGACTATGTTCGCCATGCTGTACTTGCCTATAATTTAGATCAATATTAAATACAGATGTCATTTCAGTGGAACTTTGGAGTTCAGGGCTATAGGAAATATTGTAACTCCTACCCCATCCTGATAGTCTCTTTATTCAGGACCATAACATGCCTTCAAGGCTTTACTTTCCTGTGATGCAGAATCGGGATTGGAGCTTTGTCTTCCAGGAGACCTTGGTCCAGTCCCACCATGGATTTTCTGGCTCCAGTCCCTGTAGGTCAGAGTGGCATCAGATCCTCTGCACAGGCAGAGAAGGCTTCTTTCCTAATTCCCTTCCTTCTGGAACATGACAAAATCCTCATGCCTTTAGGTCCACAGAAGGAGAGAGTTTATACAATGTTCTCTAAATCTCCTTCCTTGTCATAGAATCATACCCCCCCACTAGGTACATATGAAATACCAGCATAAAATAAATGCATCCTGTTACTGAAGTCTCAAGGTAACATCACTCAAAGGATGCATAAGCATGGAGCAGGAAGTGTGTTCAGCTGGTAAGGGATTTGAAACACTAAGATACATTTCTTCCTCAGCTTGGACTCCTTGAACATGGAAGTTTGCAAGGCCCTGCATATCTCAGGAATGTTTTTCACTGCACCCTTAGACCAAATATCAATCAGTTCCAGCAGTTAAATATTTTTGGGTCCAAATAGCCCAATAAGTATTTACCTCCTAGTATGTTAGTAACCATTTGAAAAAAAGAATGCACATAAATTGAAAGTAGTTCACATGGTGTCCAACAGATGTCGCTGTGCTTTCCTTGACAGTGTGACCATGACCCTGGGGTGAGTTCACTGATGCGCCTGCAGGCACCCAGACACAGTCATACAGTTTGGAAACCTGGACACCTGGCAACAGTTTTGTTTTTAGTATAGTAGGCTATCCCTAGAAGCTTAAGTTAAGCAGTTTTATGGCCAAGAAAAAAGGGTGGTAATAACTAAAAAAAAAAAAAAAAGAATACATGACTCAAAAGGTTTTACAGAATAAAAAAACAAATAGGATCAGGATATGTTTAAATTATTTTGCACATGATAAATCCCTGATACATGATCATGTTTGTACTTCCATGTGCAAGCAGAAAAGGAACAATATATGTTATCAATTAATTTTAATTGTCTTCCTTACAGATGTCCCTAAACCAATGACTACTTTAGTAGGAAGATTTTTGCCAGTACCAGCAAAATTAAATCTCATTACACAACAAGTGAGTCATTGTTTTAATAAAAAAAAAAAAAAAGTACAATTGGGCATTATTTTCTCTTAAAATTTCAATTGTTGAAGTTGGAATTACTCAGGAAACATAATTTATCCTGTTTTAAAATCAATGGTAAAACCTTTACCAAGTATTCAGTAGCTTCCCCACGGAGTCAGACGCTGGGTGTTGGGAGGGAATGGAATGATTGCAGACAAGTTCTGGGCCTGCCGTGTGGGGCCGCCTCGCCCTTCCCCACAGCCTCCAGACCACCTTTCTGCCTCCCTGCTGAACTTGACCTCTGCGGCCCTGCTGTCTATCCACCAGCATAAATCTCCCATTTGGTGTAGAGCCTTCTTCAATGGTCACAGCACCTTTTTGAGGCTCTGCCCAGCATTTCTGCGTGTTTTGGTTTGTTCGTTTGCCTGCATCCACAGGAGTAGAGATCTCATGAGTCTAGTTTGTCTCTGTAAACTGAGAACTGGAACCAAACCTGGCACTTACAGGACATTCACATGGAGTGACTTTTGCTCAGTAGGGCAGGTGCTGGTCGGAGCACTTGGACTACATCGGTGAGCTAATAATGCTGAATGATCCCCCTGAACAAAAGCAAAAGCAAACACGTGACTCTACCCCCTGCAGCTTGCGTTTTAGTGTGGGAGACAGACAATAGGCAAATCTAGTCCATAAACTATATTATATGCTAGGAGAGCAGGGAATGGGCATAGGGTACAGAGGCTCTGTGAGAGGAAGGCAGAATACAGGTTTAAACGGACCAGTCACAGTTGGCTGCATTGAGAAGGTGACAGTTGAGCAAAATCCTGAAAGAGAGGAGAGGGTGAGCCATGTGACTGTCACATGGAAGAGCACCCCAGGCAAGCAAAAGAGCACAACACAGGGTCAGCCTGCTGTGAAAACAGCAGGTAGTGATGAGGGGGCCCAGGGGAGGGGATGGAGTGAGCAAGAGGAAGGGAACAGAAGGTGAGGAAGGATGGATGTAGATGGCATTTAAAGCCTTGAGATAAGAAGGTTGTGGGGCAGCAGGTATAAACAGTCAGATGTTAGTCAAGTGAGTAAATAAATATTTCTCAAATGATAAGGTTAGCCAGGAGGGCAAAGAGTATTGATCAGTGCAGGAGATCCTAAGCTGTGATCCCCTGAGCACCTGACGCAGAGTCTTGCAGATGCTGCACACAAGCCTCCTGCCTTCTGGCTGCCTCCACTCCACCATCTTCCTTTCTTCACTGTGTCAGCCCCAACCAGAGAGACCCACTTGGACTTGCTCTTACACACCACAAGGTCCCTTTGGACCACAACTCCTGTCTGTCCACCACCTCCCCATCTTTTCTTGGCTGTTATTCCTGGCCTCATGTCGGGTGCTTCTGACTTTTTACCCTTGAAGCAACCACCTTAGGAATGCATTTGCTGCTTTCTTGCCAAACTTCCAGTTCTGTATATATATTTTTAAGTATTTTATTTTTAAGTAATTTCTGCACCCCACATGGGGCTTGAACTCACAACCGAGAGATCAAGAGTCACACATTCCACCAGCTGAGCTGACTAGATGCCCCCAAAGTCTATTTTTTAAGCATGTAACGACTCACACTGTGGTGCACAGACCAGGAGCCTGGGCATCATCTGGAAACTTATTAGAATGCAGGATCTCAGGCCCTGTCTTAGACTCGCTGACCCAGAATCTGCGTTTTTGCGAGATCCCAGGTGATGTGAGTGAGGAACCCTGCCTTGGAGTTCACATCTTTACTCCTAAGTGGCCAACCTTTGCTGAAGAAGGTCATGGGTTCCAGGATAAAGTTGCTCGAGATTTACTACCTATGCCATACTTAAGACAACTCTTTTTCTCTGCTTTATTTTGGGGCTAAATAAGCAAAGGGGAAAGGAGAAATTGTTGGTTTATCCAAAGGATTGCCTCGATCCTGAGAACTGTGAAATCCCTTCTTTAAAACACTGCTCAGCTTTTGACTGTCACTGGGGACATAGGCCTGATAGGTGTCTGGTGATGGGAAAGAGGAGGTTTCAGTAATTTGTGAATGCTTCCCTCCTGTAAATTGAGTGAGGAGAGCAGAGCTCCACACGGAAGGGAGGGACCCCTGGGGCGAGGCTCCCCGGAGGGACAGGGCTTTGTGCTGAAGGGCATGGACCCAGAGTGGCTTCTCAGTGTTTTCCAGCCCTACAGGCAGTGATAACACACAATTTAACAAGAGGCAGAAGAGAAAAAAATGAGTAGGATGAATGAAATATTTGTTTTTCCAGGACTGTACTTTTTAAGTTTTAAGTAATCTCTACACCTAACATGGGGCTCGAACTCAAAACCCCGAAATCAAGAGTCACATGCTCTTCCGACTGGACTGGCCAGGTGCACACCCCCCTGCAAGACTGTACTTTTTATATAAAGCTTACTTTTAAATTTCAAGTGTTCAGGGGAGGAATTTCAAGTGTTCATCCAGGTGAACAGGATAGGGTATTGAAGTGTGACATATACAAATCATGTTGAAACCTAAATTTATGTAATACTTTACATTTCTTCAGGCTTAAAAGAATTAGGTCATTCCTGACTTTGCTACCCTTTCCTTTTCCTGGGAATATCCTCTGTGAGCCACGCTATGAGTAATAGAAAGAAAAATAAATGAGAGCCAGGAAAACAAAGGACACAGAGGGGGCAGAGGTTGTGACATTGCTTTTGGACTTGTTGAAACTGACTACAAAGTTGTTGTTTTTTTTTTATTAGATGAGACACTAATGATTGATAAGCCTTCAGATTTTTAAAAAATATTTTATTTATTTGAGACGGAGAGCAAGCACGAGTGGGATGAGGGGCAGAGAGAGAAGCAGACTCCCCACTGAGCCAGGAGCCCAATGTGGGGCTTGATCCCAGGACCCTGGGATCATGACTTGAGCTGAAGGCAGACGCTCAACCAGTTGAGTCACCCAGGCACCTCAAGAGCTCTTATGCCATACCAAGAATGTACTCATAATTAAAGAACAGTTTCAGTTTACAGAAGTTTGTGATGGGATTTGATTCATAATTTGTAGTCATAAAAATGAAAAAGCTATCCTATAGTGTCCGTGGCCAGCCGCTTGACTGTGTGTGGCTGCCAGGCCCTGCATCCCTACCCTGCGGCCCCCAGTCCACACAGGCAGGGCTCTCTCGTCCCCGGCACGGTGGCCGGGAGGGTCTGGGACACCATGGGCTAGGCTCCCCCACTGCTGCAGAGGAGCCTGGGCCAGAGCCCACTCCAGTGTGAGGGGAATTGTCATGGTGGTGGGGCCTGACGTCGTAAAGTGATTGGGTTGTAAACCTCCAGAAGAACATCAGTTATTTTTGTCTATACCTAGGGTTTGGCTGGATGGAACTTTTAAAACATGTACTAATTAGAAATATGCTTGTCTTTGACTTTACACAGCTTGAAAATGGAGCCTTACCGTCCATAGTCAACGGGTCTATTTTCCCTTCAGGATCCACTCTTCCAGGACAACCCAAAATAACTTTGGCTGGGTAAGGATTAAAAGCAATCAATTGTCACTTACTTTAATATAAGAGTTTATTCTAAGTTCTAAATCAACCTGTAAGCCTTGAAGACCTCTAAACAATATATTTTACATTAAGCAGCACCACTCACAATGTCGCCCTGTGTGTCTGGTTTGTCGCTGGAAGGGCTTCCACTTTGTCCACTGTCCCGTGTCGGTGATTCAGGGGTCTGCTGCCATTTAGAGCTCTGTCTTGGTCTCATATGAGTTTAAACTGAGATGGTTTATTTCTGTTTCGCAGTCATCAACATCAGTAATGCTGCGGCATGCACTTAACACCGACGATGGCCTAGTCCCTGATGGGTCAGGCCACACTGAGTGGCAGGTGCTGAGGACACGGTCCACATGGTTGTGGGCTGCCCTTAGCTGGGGCCTTTTGTTGCCATTTTAAGGTCACATCTATAATTGTAACTAATTAAACTAACCAAGCTGGTTGGAACATTCATCTGCTAACAGTGGACGGAACAGCCCATCCCACTCATGGAGCCTTTGAGTTGGTTACAGAGGTCAGTCTGTTCCTGCCTCTGTGGGTTTGGGGTACACAATCCATTGTTGTCAGACATCCCAATCAGGTCACGCAGTTTATGTTGTGTTCACCATGGGCTCAGGTGCTCTCCAGGCCACTGCTGGGCTCATGGCGTTGGTGAGTGGGAGGAGGGATGACTAGGGGCAGTGTAAAAGGCCAAACCAACCCCTTGGCAGAGTTCTAGATCTGTCAGTGCCTTCCCCTCTGCATTGCCGCTGGAGTGTGTTGGGGGCTCTCGTGGTTCACTGCTGCTGTGGTTTGAACAGCCTGTCTTTCTGGTGGTTGTCACATAGTACCTGGGAAGGTGATGGCTTTCAGTTCGTTGGACGGGATCAGGCTGTGTGAAGCATTCTCCTTGCTCCACTGTCTTGATGAGAGATTGGGGAGGGTGTGTGGTCGCTGTTATGGTACTCGGTCCTGTCATCATAGCTCTTCACATTTCTGAGCAAAACGGAAGCCGCATAGTGACTTGTAGTTCCTGCTGGCAGCCTCCCACCTTTGGTTACCCTGCATGACCTATGATGTTACCATCCCTACTATACTCCCTTTATCTTTCTCGGAATCTGGGAGCATCTGGCCAACAGTGTGGCATTACTCTGTGCTTTAGCGGGTCTGGAGCATTCAAGGGAATTTGGCACTTCTAATGCTTCATTTCAAGTGTGTGCTCTTGGAGTTCCGGTGCAATCCGAGGTCTCTCTGTGTCATGGCTGCCAAAATGCCCTTGTGGCGGATAGCAAGTATCTGTGACCTCACCGGTGTTGTCAAGTTCTATCTCCTTCCAAAGTAGTTTGGCTTCTTCCATCTATATTAAACTATTGTTTTTGAATTTTATGTCATTGACAATCATGACAAATTGACAAGTAATTTGACAGCTGATTATATATTATCTTCTGTCCTCCAATTTTTCAATCCTATATGTCTCCATGTCCCAAATTATTTGCTGGATTACTCCTGGACTGGTACTATAAATTTTTTTACGTGTATTTTTTGGTATTCCCCTGAAGCACTTATCACAGTCCTGACCACTTGATGATCCTTCAGGAAATGCCTATTGTTATCTTCCTGATACAGGTTGTTCACTGAACTATATATACTCTGTCCTCCCACAGTTGTGGCAGGTCACTCCTGGAATGTCTCCATGCGCCCCATCCCATTTTTTTTAAAAGATTTTAGTTATTCATGAGGGACACACAGAGAGGCAAAGACACAGGCAGAGGGAGAAGCAGGCTCCCTACAGGGAAACTGATGTGGGACTTGATCCCAGGACCCCAAGATTACACCCTGAACCGAAGACAGGTGCTCAACCACTGAGCCACCCATTTTTTAAAGGAAAGAATTTTTGTTGCTCTGGACAGCAGTGCCAGACCACTGTGGGCCCCATTTTTGGGGCAGGGCTGAGGGCTGAGGGCAAGGTCAATGAAGTAGGTGTGCAAGCCCACTCCTCTGCATAGCCTGTGTCTGAATCAGGGTGCATGGGCCAGGGGGCAGTGTAGCTAGATCTGCCACCCCGAGGCACCCTTGGGGACAGAAAGCCGTCATTCTGCTATGTACAAAGGGGAAAAGTAAACCCAAGGAATAATAGATTAATATAGCATTCAGTGATATAGTTTCTGGGACATTATCTTTAAAATGGGAGCATCTCCGAAAGTAAGAGCAGCTCCTCCGTGAGCTGGGTACCAAGTATGGGAGGGGATGGGGTGTTGCTAACAGAAGCCTTGATGGTGAGGCTGGGGTGGAGGCCACTAAGTCCGGCATGCCCATGCAGGAGGAACCTGTGCCAGGGCACAGGGAATGAGGGGCTGAGCTAGGATTTAGGATGGACCCCAGTTGGGACTCCAGGTAGTTGAGTAGGTGAGTGCACAGAGTACAGGCAAAGGGGCTTGCCTGGCACACTGTCCTCCGGGCATTTGTATTAGCTACAACCACGGCTCAGAGTATTTCCATGCTCCACATAGATACTGTGGCAAACGTGAAGCGTGTGCCACATACCATTGTGGTTTCTGTAGGAAGCCCTAGAGCAAGCTGTGTCCCTGGCCTGAGATAAGACTACTCACATCATCTCAAAGAGTGCTTTGCTGCATGAGATGGCCACACATGATGCAGCAGGGCCCTGTCGCCAGGACCCTCCTTTCCACCTCAGTGTATTAAACTTCTCACATAACTAATATTCGAAGTTCCTCAGTGAGCAGTATTGTAAAGCAGCACTTGGAGCTTTTCCCAATTTTTAATCCACAGCAGCCCCTCATAGTTAGCATCCAGGACTAATGTGTCTCTCCTCCTCTGATCTTCCTCATGATGGCTCCTGGGCTGATCCCCAAGGGCACTTGGGAGAGAGGTCTCCCTCGAAACCTGCTTTGATGTTGGGGTAGTTCTAGAGTGTGGACAGCTCTAACACTGCTGGAACAACATAGAGTGATGATTCACCTCTTCTTGAGATTATACTATTTGTCAGAGTTCAGATTTTAGAAAATACAAAACAGTTGAAATAAAGGAGCTATTTGGTGTGAGGGCCCCACACAATAGGGGTTGAAACAGATCAAGGGAAGAAAGTCCAGAAGGCTTCTTGGGGAGGGGACAGCAATAGGGTCCTGTTCTGAATCCCACCCTCCGGCTCCCTGGGGTATCTGTGGGCACACAGGTGGGATTGGCCAGGCTAGATCCATCATATTGTGGATATGCACACCACTTCCATTTCATGATCAGGCTCCAGTAAATAATACCCATAACTCCCTGGTGTTGAAGTTTTCAGTATTTGTTCAAAAACACCAGATGCTTAGCTAATTCTCCTTTTAAATAGTAATGATCTGAATATTCTCTTTTTTAATCTTTATAGAGTAACTCTTAGTTCATGGGACACAAAGTCTAAAAAGCCATGTAACTGTACCAAATCCCAGTGTCTGAAATTGTAAGTAATCACAAATCCTTCATTATTAAATAGAAATAAGGTTGTTTAGAAGTCAGTAAGTGGCACAGAGTCCAGACAAGCCTCGGTGGCGAGCAGTGCACAGTCTACAGCCGAGGTCTGACAGCCATGTGCTAGCACTCACCGCCAGCCAGAGCCGCCAGACGCCGTGCCTTCTGCACAAGCCTGGGTCAGGTCTCTTGGGGTTATCTTGGCCCATTAACTTAGTAAAGGACCCGGCCTTGCACCTCCCGTAGTGTGACTTTCTTGGGTTTTGGTTTACATCTCTGCCCCTTGGCCAGGTGCTGACCATGACATCCTTGTGGAACCCTAACTATGACATTTCCACATCCTGGTTTTTACAAGTTTGGTGGATGGGTTCACTTCATGTTGAATTTTCTCAGAAAAATCCTGCCCCACGGATGCCAGCTCACAGGAGGCTCAGGCAGGGGCAGTAGGGCAGGTCGTGCAGCAGAGACGTGGGCCATGGGCACACAGTGTGGCTGACATGGGAGGTGGATCCAACATCTGCTCCTGCCCTGCCACATGTGGACGGTATTCATGCTACCTGCCCTGCTCTCGGCTTTGCCCGGTTTTTGCCCTGAAGGCTTGCCTGGCTTTGAGGTGACATGTTGGAGGGGGAATCCATCCTCATCCTGATGTCTAACCTGTCTCCACGTGGTTTTTCCATTGCAGAGCTCCTGCTGAAGTCACTGGGAGCTCCGCTGATGGGATAGTGACTTGGGGGGTATACAAGTGGGTACAAAGCCAGAAGTCCGAGAAACTTGGTTCACTGAAAAGACAAATCCATTTCTTTCGAAAGCAGTGCTGAAATCTAGGGTTGACCATGTGAAAACATTTGAGCTATCCCTGGTTTAGTCTGTGAATGCCAGCCACGCACCTCTCTGAACGCTGGACGCGCCATGAGACCACTAACATGCAGCTCTGGGTGAGGAGGAAGGAGTGCGGAGGGAAAAGCCTGGACCGCGTGACACTGTCGAGCCAGAGTGGCTGGCCCAGATGGAGACGTCCGCTGCGGTGGAAGACAAAGTGGTAGCGTGTAGAGTGGACAGAGCCAGGATCAGGGCGGGCCTGGGGACCAAGCTGCCCAGCTGCAGTCTTGTCTGGGGACTGGGGACACCCAATGACCTGAGAAGCCTAGAGCAAGATGTAGAGATTATCAGGTGGGGCTCTAAGAAGGGTTTAACTTACTGATGACCCCACAATGGAAGCCCAAGGAAATGGCTTCCTGCCCAGAAGCAGTTTTCCAGATTAATAGGTGACTGATGCATTAAAGAAAGAATCTGCCATCCCAGGTGGGCTGGGTCAGCATTGGAACAAAGGAAAAGGAGGTTCAGAGTGTGTCCTGTGCTGTCAGACAGAGGAGGCACTGTCTCCGAGGGACGTGGGCACCGCCTTCCCAAGGGAAATGATGTGTGCTGTGTGCAAGAGGCTTACGGCACTCACGTCCTGCTTCAGGACCCTGCACCTCCGACCCCACGCTCAGCACGTCACACCGCCTGGCCGTGATCTCACTGCC